GTTTGGTTCTAGGTTCAGTATAGTTGTCTTGCCATGATTGTTCCTCACAATATGGCCCTTACTGTGTTTAGGCAGCTCCAAGATGGTGAGCTAGAGTGAACAGCATGAGGTGCCTGGGATGAGACTTCCTATGCACACACAAACCAGAGAGCACTGGTTAGGCATCTTGCGCTGTTTCCAAATTAGACTTGGTCTATATCGTGGGATTGGCAACTTCACGGGGGAGTTATGTGATGTTCTTGTGCGGAAAGATTGGTGAGGGAGGCATGGAAAGGAAGAGTGTTAACAATACTGTCGTTCCTGGCGTGCCTGGACCACTATTCTGAACAGTGCAGGCTTCTTCTGAGGCTTTTGCACAGACAGGAGTGTCTGAGAGTCTCACATCAGATGCACTGTTCTAAAAAGTGGGCAACTGCTTCATTGTGCACTTCAAAGTAGAACGGAGAGTGGTCTGCCTACTGGGGCTCTGCCAGTGTGTTTGGGTTTTTCTGGATCGAGAGTCTGACCAGTGCAGATTCAAGGGATATTTGTATTTGTTGTTTCTAATTTGTCTGAAAAACACATGTACCAATGGTTCTTCCAGATCTCAGTTTGGAAATGAAATATACTGTTCATTTGGATGAAAAAAAGAATCTTGGGGGAAAAAATTAAAAGAGAGAGAGAGAGAATTTATTACTTGGATATTCCAGAAATGGCTTTTTCCCCCTTTTTCCCTCTCCCTCTGAAATACCTGCCCAGTTATGAGCTTGAGAGATTCAGGACTTGTCTACACAGGGAAATTTATCGTCCTAATTATGCCAGTATAATTAGGCTGATAAATTTGCCTGCATATACAAGCCTTAATTTTGAAAGCTCCATTGTCTCCGAACACAAGTCTAGTGAGCAGTTGTATTTCAGGCCCCTGAGCTGTGCTTGCCAGCTGTGGGCTGACTGCCGAAGTCTTTGACCGAGTTTCCTCATTTCAAAGCAGTGGGTCTCTTTGGATATTAAAAGTCTGCATTAAATTAAACAGGAAGGTATCAAAGGAGTCATATTTTGCTGAAGCGACTTGCAGTTTCTTGTGAAATGTATCAGCTGGGGTGTGGAGGTCACTGCTGCCTCCTGCTTGGTGAAATGTCAGACCTGCCTGAGTCTCTGTATCTCCGATATTTGGCTTATTTGTGCAACCAGGACTGTGTTTATGGTCCCCTCTTTAGGAAAGACATGGAGAATTCGGATTTTAAGGTGAACAAAGACAGGCTCTTCCTATGGCGTAAGTGCACTGCAGTGGTGATTCCTACAGTCATATAATGTGTACCTGTTTTTGTACATAATCACAGAAACATTGGCGCAGAGGTAGGAAGACTCTTTGGTGAGTTTTTAAGAAGAAAATTTTGAAGATAGTTAGCTCTTTCTCGCTGTGGTTTTGTGCAAAAATGTCTTGGTTTGCATATACAATAAGCTAGACAGATGTGAAGCTGGGTATTTACAGAGCAAATACACAGTATGGTCTTATGGCTCAGGCATGATTGCTTCTCCACAGCTATGTAAGAAAATGAATACTCACATGATCTAGGCTTCGTTACAGAAAGACTGCCTGAAATAATAGCTGCTTCCTTCTCAAAAATAGGCATTGTTCAAAAATATAGGGCTGAGTTGGCTTGCGTGTGTGGAAGTACCTTGCTAGTGGTTGCTTTGTGAAGATTTACGTTTCCCTGGGAGAGAAACAGTAGACATCTGCTCAAGGAGCATGGATTGATGTCAGTAGAAACAAGATTCTAGAAAGTGGTGATTGTTAGAACAGCCCTGAGAAAAGAGGAACCTCTCAGCACAGCCTAACTTGACATGACCCTGAACATTAGAGTGTCAATCCACATGTGTGTTCAGTTTCCACTGTGGGCGTGTTTGGGTGTGTGAGTGTGCATGCAGAGCTAGAGGGTGTCACCAAGAGCATTTGTGCTCATACAGTGCTTGCATGGAGCTGTGTACCCTCAATTTGGAGAATTTGGTCTATTGAGTATCTGATTCATCTTCCTGCTGATGCCTTCTAAGTTCCTCAGGACAGATCTGGATTTAACTTCTTCAGAGGAACAGTTTGCATTTCCAAGCCCATGAAACCTGTTTTTTTTGATATTTTTGGAAAACACTGGAGCCTGGTCGTAGTGCAGAGAGAGCAGGATTTAGGGAGGAGCAATCAAAGCTTGGGCTCTTGATGGGCAAATCTCACAGCATTGCAAATCAAGCCACATATGGGCAGCAGGAAGAAAGGGTACATGACAGTTTCGTCTTGGGTCTCCTCCAAATGCCATCAGCAGGCACACTTGATTCCCCTTCCCTTTTTCAGGACCTGATGTCCTCATGTTTTCCAGCACTGAACAACATAGGGTGCCTCTGGAAATGAAAAATGTCAGCGTGACTCTGCTTTTCCTGTGTTGCTGCTCCAGCTCTAATACACTTCCAGCTCTCCTTGAAAGCACAGATCCCTGTGTGTAGATCAGGGAAATATGCATTGAGGCTGAATTTCTCTGTGTGTTGCTCTGCTGGTGCTAATGGTGGAAAGGAGCCATCAGGCTCTATTTTATTTATGAGCCTGCGGGAGGGTGCGTATTGCCCACCAGTCATGCACAGACATGAGTTATCATTGCATCAAGCAGGTCTATGAGCTGCAGACCTGGTTGCCCCATTGCCTTGCCAGTTTCCTCTATTTGCTTGTTTTTGCAGAGCCTGTGGGGACTTTGTGCCCCAGCATCATTTTCTCCACTGTCAGACTTGGTTGAAATTGGAAATCAGATTGAAAAATTAGTAGGGAGACACAGACACACATACCTTAAACATCCAGTGCATGCGTGATTCATCCCATTACATTTTTTGGTGCTGAAAGATCTCACTGAGATGCAGACCCAGAGAGCTCCAAAATGTCCCAGTGAGAGCAGCAGGACAAGTGGAAGATGCGAAGCAACATAAGTCAGGCAGGTACAGAGGATATTGTCACAGAGCTGCCAGGTGGCCATTGGGAGCTGCTGCTGGAGGGGACCTGGGTAGGTGGATGGGTGCAGGTGAAACCTTCTCACCCAGTCTGTGTGGGATGCCTGCTGTCAGGGAAAGATGCTTGGCTGTGATGGGAGAGGGTGCATGTTCTTTGGAGTCCTGTTCATCTTTCTAGTATGAGAAACCCGTTTCGTAAAGAAGTTGCCTAATCTTGCTATGGCATTTTCCTTTGTCCGCTTATCTGGCATTTCCTAGTCATTGATGGACAAGTAAAATCTTCCTGTTGTGATGGTGTGAAATCCTACGTATGCAGCCTGGTATGCAGAGCTGACACAACATGAGCTCGCCTTGCTGGGGCGACGTTAATGTGCCTTAATGACAGAAAGCTCCAACACAAGGTGCAGCGCAACCTTTTTCACACATCAAGACACTGAATGGAAGTTTGAAGAATTTCCTGCCATTTAGAAGATCTTCCTTCTCATCTCTTTACATACTGTCAGTTAAATAGGGCCCCATTAATGATCTTTGGTTAAAATGTTTTTATTGCAGTGTTCCCTCTCCTCTCCTCTCCTCTCCTCTCCTCTCCTCTCCTCTCCTCTCCTCTCCTCTCCCTTTTTGGTCTTTAAACCTGTGTCTCTGACTGTGATCTGTGCAAAATTATACAAAACAGGAATCCCAATCCTCTAAAGAATTAAGGTTATTTTGTTTACCAACTTCTTATAAACCTTATAAAGTTTGTATTTACCTTCCTTAAAAAAAAAAAAAAAAAAAAAAAAAAAATTAGCACATCTATGGGGGAAAAAAAAAAAAAGGAAAAACTTGTTTTCAAACAGGATAGCAGAATATTAAATACGCATTTTGTGTAAAACCAAGCTGGGAAATAGAATAATCACCTGTCAAGGCATTTAGTTAATATTTACTATTTGGCATCTATGTAACAGACAGGTGTCCCACAGGAGTGAGGCTTCCTTTGTGCTAACAACTACAGTACAAACACACAGTGAGAGACAGATACAGGTGCAAACCCATCACAGTGTATGTATCACAGTTGTAATTTAGCACCCATTCTCTGTAGTCTTAAAAGCTCCTCAATTTTTGCTCCTGTGGTCAGTTCAGGGTGGATCCTTCCCCAGGTAATTCTAGAAGTGAATTTCATTGTATGGCATACAGATGTTTTACTAAATAAGTGGTTTGAAGTTGTGAGTTGTAGCACCCCAGTAGCATTTCCATCCTCTACTGCATCAGCACAGTACAGAGGTTTATCCTTCCTCTGGATGCAATAGCATTTAAGGGCTCTTTGAAAATTACACAGGAAAATAAAAGTTTCTGCATTTGGGCTCTGCAGTTGTCAAGCCTATTCTCTGTGTCAGGCTGAAAAATTAATTTTGTGAATCCTTTATTTATGGTAACTTATGAACTGAGACCTCATTTTTGACAGTATTTTTGCAATGAATCAGTACTGAAAATCACAGGGAATCTTGGCAGTTTTAACTGAACTTTCTCAAACATTACGACTCATGAAAAATTTGACAAATTATGCGATCTTGTATTTGATAGCATGTCCTGGGACTTTTTTAAGCTCTTTACAGCAGTCTATTCATTTTTACTCTGTTTCAATAATGTTATATATTTACTTTTCCAAGTGAAATGTGCTGTGCCCTATAAAGTGTATATCCCAATTTATATCTGTCAGTTTGAACTAGTTTAAAGTTACAGTTTCACACTGATCAAATGATTTTCTAATAATGTGATTATTTCTTAATAATTGTATCTGAAAGACAGTTTGAAACAGTTAAACATTGTTCCGATCAGCCTTCTGGAAAAAGAAAGCATAATGAAAAAATGCTACTTGTACTTCACTGTTTTACACTGCACAAGCTTGCTATGTATTTGCTGCTTTTCCACTGCTTTGTAGTTTATAAGATTCCTAACTGAACATTTGCACCCAACTTCTTCCTTGTGGATGTAGATTGTATTTTATTTTATTATTTCGCCATTTTGCCATCTGTAACATTTAGCCTTCATCTGCACAGCTTTTCACAGCAGCCAATGTGTCACATAACTTCTCTTACGAGTCTCCTGAAGTCCTGGGGGTCAGCCTGCAAAGTGAAAAATGCAGAGATCTAGGAATGGCTCAGCCAGCTGAAAGTTACGGGAAGGGAAAGGCTCCAGTTTCACTGAAGGAAAAAAAAAAAAAAAAGAAGAAGAAGAAGAATGGCTCCTTTCAATGCAGACGGAGGCAGTCTGGCTGAGAGTCAGTGAGGTTTAAAAATCCAAGAGGTCCAATAACTGAAAATCTGTATAGATTCAAAGTAATATTTTAAATACCGCACAAGTGTAGATAAAATTTTTTTTTTAAAAGCGTGTGATGGTTTTTCCATCCTCCTGGTGCACATAGCCAACCATGTCCCAAAACCAGGCAGTATTTCTTCTCCCTAAGACCCTGAGCACGTGTGTCTAAGACCTGTCCATTTCGTCAAAGAATGAGGGTGAAGAGCTCCTGTTGGATTGACCCCTTTTGTCACTTTTCAGTGAGATGGGGATGATGGCTTGTTGTTTCCAACCAAAAACCCACTAGAAATTTCTACTGCTACTTTGCTGAAATAGGAATGTTGCTGTTATTGTAATGCTGATGTTCAGCTAGCAGCCCAGCAGCAGTGCCTCCACTGGCATCACAAGTGTTTTTACTTCTGGTGGTAATGCTCTGGTTTGTGATGTCCATTTCATGACAAAAGAAAAGGCCATGGGGTCTGATGAATGTGGTGCTCAGGGACATGATTTAGCGGAGGGCTGTTAGAGTAGGGTAGTATGGTTAGGTTGCAGTTGGACTTGATGATCTTGAAGGTCTTTTCCAATCTGAGCAATTCTATGATTGTAAGCTGCCTCTCCTTGGGTCTCTCCTGCTGTCTGTTTGCCTTCCTCTCTCTCCTTTTAATGCTCCTATTCACTGTTCCAGGTTCTCCCCGTAGTCCCAGACAGGCTCCAAAGCCTTGTATGAAAACGCAGGGAGAGGGCAAAAGATCAGTGAATAAAAGCACTGAGTACTTACCTCTTAGAGCCTGTTATACTGTCAGCTCAAAGTTAAAGTGCAATAAATCTGGTAGTCTCACGTTGGTCCCCCGTGTGCTGCAGTCCACCTCATAAAACTACTACATAATTAAGTACAGTGCAGCACAATTGGCAGTCTCTGCTCAGCGAAGGCCCAGCGGTGAGTGCATAAACTCGCTGACGGTCCCTGAAGGTGGATGCTTGAGGTGCTGGGAAGTGGGGGCAGGTGCTGGCTGCCAGTGCAGCTTTCCTGTGAGGAGGGGGCAGCTCGGCCTTCCCTCCGCCAGTACAGCTCCATGCTGTGGGTATTTAAAGAGAAAAGAGGGGAGCAAGCAACATGGGTGATGCTGGGGAGAGTGGGAGCAGCCATATGGCACCAGAGAGATGGGCATCACCTGCTGCAGAAGCTGGGGTCTCCTTCCTAGGCAGGAAAATGCCCCTCATGCTCTGCATCTGGATTGTCTGCAGAAAGGCAGGGTGCTGCGAAGTCTCTCTGTTTGTGGACTTTGCACCCAACTTTTCTCTTTAGCAGAAGTGACTGCAGGGCAGAGGAGTGTGGCTTATGGGAGTAAGTTAAGCCTTTTTTTTTTTTTTTTTTTTTTTTTTTTTTTTTAAAAAAAAAAAGGAAGGAAAAAAAAAAGAAAAAAAAGATGAAGGAAGAAAGAGAAGTGTTTAACCACCAGCTAGGCAGCTAGCTGCAGCAGCAGGTCTGGCCCTATCCTGCTGGTGCCCTCTAGTGCTTTGCTACCCAGCTGCAGAAATGATTTTTGAGCTTGGGAGAAAATCCCCAAGTACAGATAATCTTCAGGTTTTGTTTGTATTCATGGTGCTGCTGTTGTTTTCTCTCTGGTATTTCACAGCCTGCTGCATGCAGGTGTGCACTTTGCCTGTGTTTGTGTGCAGTGATTCTGCTGTTTTGGGGAAGGATAGCTTTTATTTTGAGTACTTGCACTGTATGACAAGCCACAGGTGGCTGTATTTTTCAGGCTATAAGATAAGCTCTCAGTTCTCTCTGCCTCCCTCTAAAAAGAAAGTTCAAGCTGTTTGTCACTGAATGAAGTGGTGTGATGACAGGAGGAACGTGCAGGATACCCAGCAGTCAGAGAGGCCACATTACAGACAGGTAAAGAGCATCCATAGGAAGGCTGTGAAGATGGGGAAGGGTCCGGAGGGCAAAGTGTATGAGGAGTGGTGGGCATGGAACAGGCTGCTCAGAGCTGTGGTTACAGCCCCAAGTGCCAAAGTTTAAGGAGCAGTTGGACACTGCTCTCAGACATAGGATTTGGATGTTGGGTGGTCAGGAGTTGGGTTCCTTCCAACTCAGGATATCCTATGATCCTGTAATTCTATCAAATTAGCCTTAAAGTCCACCTGGACAAAATTCCTGGATGAAAAAAAGAGGATGTGTTTAGGTAAATCCAAGAACATATCTAAATAATAATAATACCTGGAAACTTTACAATCCATTTAGAAGCTTCCTCCTTTTTGAAAGTTCTTGTTTCTTATGCAAGAGCCTGTTATCTTAGTGGAAAATAGTGTGACCCATCCAGGTGCTGGCAGAAGAGAGTTCATGGGCGTTGCTGCTCAGATATCTACAAAGAGAAAGTGGGCAAAGGTATGAAGAGAAGTGGTATTGACTGCCTATTTTGGGGGTGAGAAATAAGGGATTACAGAAAAAAAAAATTGTGCATTCTTTGAAAAGAATGCAGAAATTTTCCAGACTATTTGTGGCAGAGGATTTTGTCTAAAGAAATCTTGTCCATGAAATTGGCGAATGAGTTAGGATTTGTTTGTGACTTTGTGGTAAGCCTCTTTCATTTGTACATGTCTCCAAACACTCTATGAAACTAATTTAAACATAACTAGACTCACTGATAGAAGTACCTAGAACACTTCGGAAAGTTCATCTATAAATTCTCATCCCCATGATGGAAAATGGGCAATTAGATGACCAAAGAGAAAATTTAACTGTGCTAGATTGATGTGGTCTATGTGTGATTGCAGATCTGATTATAGAATTCAAGAGTGAACTGTGTTTCACTGTAGGTGGAACTGACACTCCAAGTATAAAAAGTGCAAATGCTGAGAGGTGCAAAATCTGCACTGAGAGCCAGACCCAAAAGGTATGCCAAAACAGCAGACAGAGGGCAAGTCTTGGGTCTTTCATTTCTTTCAACAGTTTTTAGCCTTCATTTTTAAGGTGCAAACCAAATTAAGGAACTGTTATTTCAGAAAGCAAACTTTTTGGTCAAAGTCACTTCTGGTATTTGGGGAAGAATATTTTAAACAACCCAATGGTAGATTTCAGCTGTAAAGCTCACTAAAATCCTTTTCTGCCAGTTTGTCTGGACAAATTGCTCTGGTGGTACACTGGACAGACTCTGAAGCTGGGCTGTTTATACATAACATCTCTGTTATCATTACTGTACTGAGGTGTCACTGGGTGGCCTATTAGGATGGGCACTGGAGCTGCATATGGATGGAAAGACTTGTTGGAAGTATCTGCATTGGCTTTGAGTATATTTAGACAGTTGAGTGCCCAGGGATTTAAGAGACAGTATTGGTAGGACAAGTCTCATTAGAACTCTGATTTCCTGGAGCTTTTTAGTCCTCTGTGATGTGCTGAGTGAGCACTTTGCATGGTACCTCATGGGGATGAAATGTTGGTAGGGCTGTGAGTGCATGGCTGGTGAGGGAGATGGGTGTTCTGTGAACATCTGTGATGGCATGAGGTCCTCATCCTGCCCTATAAAGTTCCCAGGCCAGGAGAGGATCACCAAGTACTCCCTTGCATATTATGACTGACAGTGGGGGTGGTTTTGCCTAGCAGGAGGTGCCAGAATGGAATTACTTTCATCCAGAATCCCGCTTTTGGTCTGATGAAAGGAAGTGCTGGTGGGGAATTCCAACATTTTCCACGTTGTCCTGGGACAGAATGAAGCCTCATTACAACTAAATTCATGTTTGAGTGTAGAAGTGTTTGTCAAATTAGTCTTATGCTATCTAACTCAGTTCTTGGGTTAGATTATCACAACTATCTACAGTCTGAAACCATAGCACTGTTGGTGCTGGAGCTAAGGCTCTTTTTGGTGACTTCAGGCCCCCTAGGTAGCAAAGATTAACTGTAATATATGTCAGAGAAGCAAAAAGATTTTTTTCCCTGTAGATGTAGGTGATGGCTTGAGGTTTTTTGCCATGCAGCAGAGGAACTTGCCATGGAAAAGAGCATATAGCAGAGGATGCCCCAGGAACCTTCTGTGCTGGTGCGGTCTGAGCAATAAACTGCTCTGCTTTCTGTCAGAACATGGCCCTAGCAGCCATAATAAATGTATACACACATATGTCTGGACTGAGAAATCCAACACTTAGTATGAATCTGGATTTGGAGTTCATCTATGTTATGGATTAAGGTAAAAAATTCAGGCTGAAGCATGTTGTGTTAACAGTATATGTAGAAGATTTGATTCTGTGAGGAGGTTCCTTCTTCTGGTCAGTGTAATCTGTTCTCAAAGTGGATTCTTGATCAGTTGCTTTCAAGTAAAACCATGGAGAAGTACCCTGGAGATATCAGTTCCTGCTCTCCTGCCCTCCATGGGACTAAGAATCAGTTGAAGATAGATGGAGCTGACTCCACCAGCTTGTAGTTGCCTGGGCTAGTCATATGTTGGAGCAAAGTGCAAGAACACTCCCTGTTACTGGTCTAAAATGGTACTGGGGAAAGATGACTGAGTTTATCTGTGATCTAGACCTATTAAAGTTTGAGTCTGCACAACAACTCAATTATCTGTACACATCTACTGCAGTCATTTAATTCCTACTTTCCACAACCATCCTGGGCTTTTCTGGAAAATGGTCATTCCCACTGAGACAAACAAGAGACCATTCATTAGAGCGAGATAAATGGGAAGAGAGACAAGTATTCTTTTAAAAGCACATTTAAAGCCATTCCCCCCAGCCCCTATTCCCATTCCCATTGAACGGATGTCCATCTGGCTACCAAATGCATCACAACCTCTCTTGGCCACTGTGGGAACCTGCCATCAGCACGCCAATGGTGAGCCCGACACCTCCGCAGCCATAAAACCTGGGCTCTTTAATCCACAGCTGAGGATTACAGACCCCAGCAGCCAGGCAGCGGCGGGACGCCACCTA